AGATTTTAAAAAAAAGCACCAATTTGTTAAGCCACGATCTTTCGCTTGGGAGTCGCCGTGGCGTTGACGGCTAGACGCAACCAGACGGAGCGGGATTTGTTTTCGAAAATCACCTTGACTCCCAGCCTTGAGTGGGTATCAAGTCATTAGAAGTAAAGTCGGCCGGCGTGATGTTATAACACATCACGCACCAAATGCCGTTAGGTCTATAAAATATAGGTCTGGCCCTATGCACCCAATGCGCCTGAAAGTCGTGGAAAAGGGTCCTTTACTTTTGATTTTTAGGATCTATATCGTCAACCTCCGCCCCCACCCCACCCCCGTTTTTTTTTCCTTTCTCCTTTTAAGACGTGGCCCCGAATTTGGAAAACACTGTTCTAGTCTCTTCCTAATGTGATAACTGTACAATTATTGTAATAGTGATAGTACGGCTTGTAGTACTGGCGCCATTTTTTTTAAACGTAAATTAACGGTGATTATAAAAACAGATCTAGATTATGGTAACAGAACTATGTCATTGTGTTATTCCTTCCAACATAAAAGTATCGCAGACGTGTTTTCGTAAACGGCTAGTAGACAAGTGGGACTGAAATTTCATAACAGAGTATAAGAGCACAGCTTAGTAGCGGCCGGCGTGATGTTGGCCACATTACCCACCCAGTGCAGATTGGTCCATACAATTTTGAATAACCCGGTATATCAGGTCAGCTCAGACGACCTTGCACACGTGCCCTGACCTTGTCAACCCCTCTCACATCCTGGCAATAATAATAGTGTAAAAAAATGTAACTAAAAAAAAAAAAGTAATTATGTGTTAGAAGTAAGGTTGTATGAATGAACAAAAACTTAAAAAATAAAACATGTGTAAAAAAACACACACACACACACACACACACATTTGGGTTAGGGCATGTCCGCTCTGATTAACTAAGACCCCAGGTCCCAGCGAATGTGGTCACCAACAGTGTCAATTAACTCATCTGAAACATTTGTCGAATAAATAACAAGAGAGTAACATTACAAAAACACAAATATACGTAAGTATTTGGTGTTAGTTTGTAAAAACACACACAGAGAGAGAGAGAGAGAGAGAGAGAGAGAGAGAGACAGACAGACAGACAGACAGACAGACAGACAGACAGACAGACAGACAGACAGACAGACAGACAGACAGACAGACAGACAGACAGACAGACAGACAGACAGACAGACAGACAGACAGACAGACAGACAGACAGACAGACAGACAGACAGACAGACAGAAAGACAGAAAGACAGACTGACAGACAGACAGACAGACTGACAGACAGACAGACAGACAGACAGACAGACAGACAGACAGACAGACAGACAGACAGACAGACAGACAGACAGACAGACAGACAGACAGACAGACAGTACATAATAAAAAAAGTTATCAAAAGAAACATTTTATCTCAGAATTCATTGAGCAATATACATATGATATTTAAACTAATACAGTACCGAACAACCTATTATCGTTATCGTTTTTAACCAACGTAATATGCGTGTTTGAACTAGTTCCAGTCGATGCAGTTATTAAGCTGGCCAGCTGTGTCCCTGTTCTTACTTCAGCTTCTCATATTATATAGCCATAGGAATATCCGGTTGTGCCATTATATGTCACATAGGGCTCGCAGTCTACTTCTCCATACGCTCTGTCCCGTGCTGTCATTTCTATATCAGGGATGGAAACCAACCTAGGCTTCTTTCACCAGCCTTTGTTTTATGGTTTACCTTGGACATCTTTATGTGCTCAATCCATCTCTTTCCCATTTCAGTGCCTGTTTGGCAATTTGTGTGCTCTTTTCTTCGCATAACATGTGCAGTATAGTGCCACTTGTGTGTCATCCATTGGTCTCTCTGATGTCTTTTTTTTTTTTTTTTACACTTCTTTACTAAGGAGTGAAAACAGAGCGCCATTGCTACCCACCCGCACAAGTCTACAGTAACAGGACTTCTGGTATAAAATAGAGGACTAGTCATAGCAGAATGTGAAGCTTCAAAGTTTTTTTTGCTTCTGACAGCGCTTTGCTAATGCAGTTTCCACATATGGCGGTAGTCTACAGTTTCCTGCCTCAGCCACCGAGTTTAGTGCTTATTGCAGCCCAGTGAGCTGTGTTCTTTCATGTGGAATGTCTTTCACTTGTGCAGCGTTTGAGTCGTTGTATTCTATATGGCGGGTAGCCGGTTTTCGTGTGGGCTTGTGAAATACTTTATGTAATAATTCTACGTCTGTAATGCCCTACTACTTCCATCAACGAAAAACTGCATTTCTGGTGGCTTCTACACCTCTATCAACTGCTGTGAAGAGAAGGAGTCATTTTCTCTGTGATAATTTATGGTAACATTCATAATTTATGAGGTCAGACACTGAACATGAATTATGTACTTGGGCGGTTTTAATAAAAAAAATCACGGACGAATCACGGCCCACAGAAAATGTTGGCCAAACTATAAAATGGCCTAACCGTGCAAATGGGAAAGCATGAGAATCAGGAAGAGCGAAAGCTCTAGAACATAACATTTCATGCGTTAGAGTAAACGATTATTTAACGCCTGAAAGGGATTAAGAATGATCATTCTCGTGTGGGTTCCAAGAACAGTGTGTCTGTGACGTATAAAGTTACAAGTTGATGTAGCTGTAAATTCTGGGCAAAACCTGGCCACCGTTCGTTTTACGATTCTGGTCAAAATCGGACATGTTGTGATTCGGCGTGGCAGATTGGGACTGTTTAGTTATGTGTTTTGTCAACATAAGGTTAACATGCCTTCGAACTGTATATTGTTTAATGGTTGTAAACTGTGATCCATAGACTGTCACCACAGGGTGTCCTTGTTGAAGGCGATTAGGTGAATTATTAGGCATCGACACTATCACTGCGGTCGCAGTATTCTGTTTCAACCTGTTGCAGTAACAAGGTAAAGGTTAAGTCGGCAGGTGTGAACACGGTAATAAACCAAAAGTGCTCTGCCACCAGTACGGACAGCTGATAAGAAGTGTTCGCCTGTGTTGCCGTTCGCGCGTAACTCTGTCGCTACAGCGGCGTTCCTCCCTTTACCCCAGAGTGTCAACTCTGGTACCCATTTCCTTGAGCTGGGTGAATCCTGGGAACTACCCGGTTTCGAACACCGACCCTGCGCTGCAGCGAGTCGCAGCTGGATTTGAAATCGAGCCTCCTATCGACAGCGCTAACGCGGATGTTGCAGTGTAAACAGGGATGCTTCTTAGGAGTTTGCAATGGTTAGAGCCAAGAGACCGTTAGAAGGAGAGTCACTGCACACGCCACATGCATTTACTGCGTGCACATTTCTGGATTGAGCCAGAACGCATTGTTTGTACACCATTTATTTTCAAATGTGACAGTGAGGGACACATTATTTGATTTTCACTGGCACATGAACATATATTATGTCATCCCCTTGTGGTATGCAATTTTTCGTTATTTGAAGCCCTACTCTAGCTCTTGCAGGAGCCGCAATATAGCCCGACAATAAATATGGCCTAATGGCTGAACGCGGTTTCTGGGACCTCTCCACTAGTGATCCTCATCCAGATGGTGGCACTTCGTGTCATCGGATGTTTATCGCTTTTGTGATGTCCTGGTGGGGTAAAAGAAGATAGATAGATAGAGATGGTGCATGAACGGAGCAAGTATGGAATGACTCGAAAGCAGTGAAGTAAAAACCTCGACTAAAACTAAGACAGTAACCATTTTGTGCTGCCCCAAAATAACCGTCCTGTACTGCTTGACGGTTGAAGAGGATTCCTTGATTCACAAATGCGAATCTGAAGGGAACATTCTTAATTTTTTTTTTTAAACCGAAACGACAATGGGAAAATTAGAAAGACTGGGAGTTAGATAATGACAAGGTACATTTTGAAGATAGTCTGTTGAGGGAGAAAGGATTACTCCGTTTTCGACTATGAAATATATAACAAGGTTTGATAATATGTTTACCTGCAATAGAAGTTATTGTGGATCAAAGATTTCATTTGTGTTGATGATAAAACTGCATGTATGAATAAAGGGAGGGCTTCGGTCTGGGTAAATGGCTGAAATGGATAACGAATTAATGGGTGGAAATAAATAGGGATAAATGGGTGGATAGGAGGATTCATGCATAAATACATACATAGGTTTATGCAAGGATTAATAAAAGCTTCCATGTGGGAATACATGGATAGTTGGATAACATGGATAGTTGGATAACATGGATAGTTGGATAACATGGATAGTTGGATTAATGTATTGATGAATAAACAGATAAATGGTTGGATGGTTATACTTATGCATGGGTAAATGAATGAATCAATCAATCCAACAATCAAGAACTGACACACTTGCACTCGGGATATTCTCCCACGTGCTCGGTCTCCTTAGACAACAAAGAGACGACATCCTAATAGTACGAGTTGCAACCTGATTAAATGTCCTCATGTGTTTCTCTCTCAGTGTTAAACATCTTCCAGATCCTCTACCCACCCCTGTTGATTCAGTCTTTCAGTGTATGGATTCTCCGTGTGTTCTTTTCCACTGTCCACATGTCAGAGAGCTTTACCACGTCCGAGTTATCATCAAGTAGCTCGCCGCTGAGAGGAACAGCAGCAGAACGATTGAGTAAATTATTGAGTCCGTCAGTGAGTTCAAGCAGTAATAGATCAGCCAGTTTGGTGCTTTAATAATATCCTTCCTCAAGCAGTGAAAATTCACAGGTCACTGGACAGCCTAATATTTCAGGAGGTGGTAGATAGGCTGCATGCAGTCGTGGGGCCTAGGCTGCACTCTCTTATTGGACGAAGGTGGGTTAGGTTTAGGGTCAGTTCTAGATGTTATGGGGTCATTAAAAGCATCAGAAAGCTGGGAAACCCAGTCGTACCACCCTCTGTAATGTTGGACTGTCCTGTGACATCATCTGGGGTAAGATAATAAATAACCGTCAGTTTTTGTGTCAGAGCAACGTTAATATTTCCTCGTCTACGTCCGTCGCAGGCCGCACAAATAAGCCACAAGACAACCCAAAAACCCAAATACAGCTATCCCAAATAAGGAGTAGCAGGTAACTGTCATATAAAAGGTGTAATAGAAGAGTCGGCGGGAGCACCAGTTTCTGGGTTCATGCAATGGTTGCGTAAAATTTGGTTTCCAGATCGAGAAGAGCCAGTAGTTTCCCCAGGCGAACCATATCAGGAGAAACAGCGTCAGGATGTACCAGGTAAAACGATAGCTGCGGGTCATGACATCATCCTCTTCACTGTCTTCGTCGTCTTTGTTTTCGTCCAGGAGCATCAACGCTCGCGACCTCTTCTGCTGCCAGATGAGGATGCAGAGATGGACGAAGCTGGATGCGCCTCCGACTAACAGGTAAATGGGTATCTTAGGTTCTTTAGGGCACTCTTCCAAATAGGATGTTCCTGAGAGAAAGAAAAAAAATCAAATACTGAAGTGATTGGAAATGGAAAAGTAGTTGCTGAAAGGGACAAATCAAATATTTCTGGCATATTAAATCTTTCGGTCTTATCCAAGAGCTTCTTAAACTCTTTGTATCTTTCAAATGTATTTCTAAAGGTAGTTTACTTAGTTAGTCGACAGATTATCCCCAGTGCACGTCGAACCACTCAGTCCAAAAGTACTCGGATTTTCTCCTCAGTAAATCCTGCAGCGTGTACCGGCTGACGACACTAGTCCTGTGTTGGTTTATTCTTCTTCTTTGGCTACCCGCGTAATGTTTTTGTTTGGTGACACCCCGTTTAACTTGCTGTACTTGCAGTCTGACCATGGTTACAAATTCACAGTTCTCAACTGGTTCACGCAAACTTCTTAACTCTCTTAGAGCATTCATTATATCAGAGTGATCCATGGCTTGTCCGGATTTCACAGTAGCCTTACCTGCAAGTCTATCAGCTTGCTCGTTTCCTTGTACCCCCACATATCCTGATCAATGAAACCTATCCTTGTCAGCTGTGAATGCTGTAGAGGCACCAACAATGATAAGATATGATAAGAACAGCCATAGTCTAAGATCGTTTACATCATCGTCATCGCCATCATCATCATCATCAGCGCCCTCTTTTGCTCATTTTTTTTTAAATCCAGCAACCATGTGCTGTAAACCCATCGGCTCGGTACTGTGGATATCGCAACCCTTCTGCCTTGATTCCACGATAGATACCGTAAGTATCAGGAACTGTACACAGTCTAGCAGATTTGACTTTCTCGCCAACGTTAGTTTTTAGGTATGTTTGTACTTACCCGCTTCCCGAGTCCATATGATGTCAGATTAAATTAGAACAGGACAAAAGAATATGAAGTGACAATGGTCATTAAAAAAAAAGGGGGAGAAAGGCCCCTTTTTTGCGCATTCAGACGTACTAGCACATCAATAAACTAAAAACTTACCCATGGCTAGCATAGAGACGGGCAGACCAAACAAAATCAAGAGAAAAATCGTCATGGCGACTGGGGAAAGAAAAGAGAGAGATAACAGTGTAAATAACAGCATTAAAACAATATTACGAGTAACATAATGTGAACAGGCAATCGGTCAATCCTTGATGGCTCTGATTAAATCTGCTTAAGGCAGGCTTCAGAGGTCGATGGTGAAGAGCATTGTCTGGATCTGTTCTCCAGGGGAACACCGGTGTTCTGGGAAATGAAGTGGCGGACAGACTGGCTGGCTGTGCACAATTTAATGGAATACTGTTGCATGATAAGGCAGTCGTGGTTAAGGTCTTATGGGAGCACCTGTACAGTCTGGGGCATAACACTGATCAAAACAGTCTGGTGAGAGTGACGCAGCAGGGAGTGGTGAGAGTGACGCAGCGGGGAGTATGAGAGTGACGTGACAGGGAGTGGTGAAAGTGACGCAGCAGGGAGTGGTGAGAGTGACTCAGCAGGGAGTGGTGAGAGTGACGCAACAGGGAGTGGTGAGAGTGACGCAGCAGGGAGTGGTGAGAGTGACGCAACAGGGAGTGGTGAGAGTGACGCGACAGGGAGTGATGAGAGTGACGCAGCAGGGAGTGGTGAGAGTGACGTGGCAGGGAGTGGTGAAAGTGACGAAGCGGGAAGTGGTGAGAGTGACGCAACAGGGAGTGGTGAGAGTGACGTGGCAGGGAGTGGTGAGATTGACGCAACAGGGAGTGGTGAGAGTGACGTGGCAGGGAGTGGTGAAAGTGACGCAGCGGGAAGTGGTGAGAGTGACGCAACAGGGAGTGGTGAGAGTGACGTGGCAGGGAGTGGTGAGAGTGACGCAACAGGGAGTGGTGAGAGTGACGCAGCAGGGAGTGGTGAGAGTGACGCGGCAGGGAGTGGTGAGAGTGACGCAACAGGGAGTGGTGAGAGTGACGCAACAGGGAGTGGTGAGAGTGACGCAGCGGGGAGTGGTGAGAGTGACGCAGCAGGGAGTGGTGAGAGTGACGCAGCAGGGAGTGGTGATAATGACGCAGAAGGGGAGTATGAGAGTGACGTGACAGGGAGTGGTGAGAGTGACGCAGCAGGGAGTGGTGAGAGTGACTCATCAGGGAGTGGTGAGAGTGACGCAACAGGGAGTGGTGAGAGTGACGCAACAGGGAGTGGTGAGAGTGACGCAACAGGGAGTGGTGAGAGTGACGCAGCGGGGAGTGGTGAGAGTGACGCAGCAGGGAGTGGTGAGAGTGACGCAGCAGGGAGTGGTGAGAGTGACGCAACAGGGAGTGGTGAGAGTGACGTGGCAGGGAGTGGTGAGAGTGACGCAACAGGGAGTGGTGAGAGTGACGCAGCAGGGAGTGACGAGTGGATCTGGCGGATACTCTGGAAGCTCAGAGGAAAAGTAAGACGGGCGGCTACTGGCACAGTTTTTATTGGAACTCTGCTTTTGCTGATAAGGATGAGGATGGAGAGCTTATGGAATTGCTCCCGAAGACTGTGGTATCGGTTCTAGAATCAACTCAACAAAAGTTAAGTTCATTTCTAATGTGATAATTTTGTAATGGTTTGGCTGGAACAGTGAATCCTCTCAATACCAGCTAACATTATCATCATCATTATTAAAATCATCATCATTATCATCTTCATCATCATCATCATCATCATTATCATCATCATCATTATCATCATCATCACCAACCTATTGTGAAATAATATGTTCTGAAAGGCTCGTAGTCTATTCCTCCAACACTTTATATCTTGGGGAGTCTTTTTATGTGTCACGGATGGAATCCAGCCCATTCCTTCTTACTTTTTTCATCAACGTTCGTCTTAGTGTTTATCCTAGTCGCATTTTCTGGGCTTTCCTCTCAATCCATTCGTTTCCTGTCTTTGTGCCTGTTTCATTATTCTCCAAATGGCAAACACCTGTGTGTCACCGAAGTTCATAAGCGAAGCCAGGTATACAATGTAATCTGAAATGTAAGAAGCAATTAATGAGAGCCGATGCGATGCTGGCTGCAAGGAGAAAGGGTAAGTTAAAGACGATGAAAAGAAAGACGAAAAAAAAAGAAGAAGAAGAAGAACAAGAAGAAGAAGAAAAAGAAGAAGGGGAAGAAAAAAAAAGAAGAAGAAAAAGAAGAAGAGAAAGAAGGAGAAAAAGAAGAAGAAAGAGAAAAAAGAAGAAGAAGAAGAAGAAGAAGAAGAAGAAGAAGAAGAAGAAAGAAGAAGAAGAAGAAGAAGAAGAAGAAGAAGAAAAGAAGAAAGAGAAGAAGAAGAAGAAGAAGAAGAAGAGGAAGAAGAAGAAGAAGAAGAAGAAGAAGAAGAAGAAGAAGAAGAAGAAGAAGAAGAAGAGAAGAAGAAGAAGAAAAGAAGAAGAAGAAGAAGAAGAAGAGAAGAAGAAGAAGAAGAAGAAGAAGAAGAAGAAGAAGAAGAAGAAGAAGAAGAAGAAGAAGAAGAAGAAGAAGAAGAAGAAGAAGAAGAAGAAAGAAGAGAAGAAGAAGAAGAAGAAGAAGAAGAAGAAGAAGAAGAAGAAGAAAGAAGAAGAAGAAGAAGA